TATTGGAGGTAAGAATCTTAAGGACTTTTCGTGCCCAGGCTGGCTTTGAACCAGGATCCTCAGATCTCAGCCTCCTGAGTAGCTAGGATGACAGGCGTGATCCGCCGGCACCCAGCATCTGTGAGGGTCTTATCTCCAATAAACTACCAAAAAGCCAGATGTGGAGCTGTGGCTCAAGTGCTAGAGCCTGAGCCTTGAATGAATAAATCTCCAGGGACAGCGCCCGGGCCCTGAGTTCGAGCGCCAGGCGCGGTGGGAGGGCTGCCGTGGAGGCTGGGGGTAGAGGAGGCCAGGGGCTCCCCTCACCTCGGCCTCCGCCATCCCTTCCCCGCAGCGATCACCTCCGTCATATTCGGGGAGCGGCTGGGCATGCTGGAGGAGATGGTCGACCCGGACAACCAGAGGTTCATCGACGCCATTGAACACATGTTCCACAGCAGCGTGCCCATGCTGCACCTGCCGCCCGGCCTCTTCCGCGTCCTCCGCACCAAGATCTGGAAGGATCACAAGGATGCCTGGGACACGATCTTCAACAAAGGTGGGGGCTCGGGCTGCCCCCCTCCCTGGACACACAGGGAGGCTGGGGGAGGGGCTGGCCGGGGCCTGGAGGAATCTGAGGTCACTTGGGTCCCTCCTGCCCACGTGACCACGGGCACCCCTGTCCCCCCCCCAAGATGCCATCAAGCCTGAAAAGATGGGGTGGGCAGCCAGGCGCCCTTGGCCTCACGCCTGTCATCCTGGCTACTCAGGAGGCTGAGATCTGAGGATTGAGGCTCAAAGCCAGCCCAGGTAGGAAAGTCCATGAGAGTCTTTATCTTCAATGAGCCATGAGAAAACCGCAAGTGGCGCTGTGGCTCAGAGTAGGAGAGCACTCATGTTGAGCTGAAGAGCTCAGGGACAGCGCCTAGGCCCTGAGTTCAAGCCCCACAATGGGCAAAACATAAAGGAGGAGGGAACTCTCCTAGAAAGGTCAAAGGACTGGCTCAGGTGGTAGAGCGCCTGCAAGGGGGAACGCAAGGAAGAGAATTAAAGGATAGCTAGGAAGGCTCAGCACAAAGTAGCAGCTCAGTGAACAGGCCGCCCCGCCCCGGCCCTCCCCGCTCCTCCGGCAGCCAGCAACTACACTCAGAACTTCTACCTGGACCTGAGACGGAGAAGGAAGGTGGACAGGTACCCAGGCGTGCTCTACAGCCTCCTGGAGCAGAACAAGCTCCCGCAGGAGAACATCGAGGCCAACGTCACGGAGATGCTGGCGGGGGGCGTGGACACGGTGAGTCAGGCCCGGCAGCCACCGGGGCCTCCGGAGCCCAGGCGCCTCCCCTCCAGCCGTGGGCCCTGAATCTCCACCACATCCCCCCAGCTGCCTCCCTCTCCTGGCTCCAATCTCCCTGAAGAGTGAGGCCCGAGGGTCTGAGGCTCCTCAGCCATCTTATTTCCTGTGTTGGGACCCAGAGTGGACAGGGAGGTGCAGGCTCTGTGTGTGTGTGTGTGTGTGTGTGTGTGTGTCCCTGTACTGAGACTTGAACTCAGGACCTGGATACTGTCCCTGCGCTCAGGCTCTGTGTGTGTGTGTGTGTCTGTACTGAGACTTGAACTCAGGACCTGGATACTGTCCCTGAGGTTTTTCACTGAAGGCTGGCACGCTACCACTTGAGCCACATCTTCATTTCCAGCTTTTTGCTGGTTCCCTGGAGTGAAGAGTCTCATGGGCTTTCCTGCCCCGGCTGGCTCTGAACTGGGATCCTCAGATCTCAGCGTCTGGAGGCATGTATACTAGGTGTGCATGGGAGTTCACAAGGAGGGCCTAGGGGCTCTCCAGAACATTCCAGCCTTTGGAAGTTTTTTTTTTTTTTTGTCAGTCATGGGACTTGAACTTTGGGCCAACAGCTCTTCAGCTCAAGGCGAGCGCTCTACCGCTTGAGCCACAGCACCACTTCCTTTTTTCTAGTGGTTTATTGGAGATAAGGGTCTCATGGACTTTGCTGTCTGGGCTGGCTTTGTACCGGGATCCTCAGATCTCAACCTCCTGAGTAGCTAGGATGACAGCTGTGAGCCACCATGCCCGGCCTGGGAAGATTTTTCTTTTTCTTTTTGCACAGTTGCTCTTGCGCTGTAGGCTTTGCCTTTGCAGATGGTGGGAAGAAATGAAAACGTGAGCCGGGGGCCGTGGCTCCCGCCTGCCATCCCAGCTCCTCGGGAGGCTGAGATCGGAGGATCTGAATTTGAAGCCAGCCTGGGCAGGGAAAGCTGTGAGACTCTGATCTCCAGCAGAACCAGCAGAAAGCCCCGAGTTCAAGCCCCAGGCTGGGCGTGTGTGTACACACACACACACACATGCATGCACACACACCCCATGTGTCCTGGCAGACCTCCATAACGCTGCAGTGGCACCTGTACGAGATGGGGCGGCACCCGAAGGTGCAGGAGCAGCTGCGGAGAGAGGTGCTGGCCGCGCGGCGCCAGGCCGGGGGCAGCATGGCCGCCATGCTCCACCGGGTCCCGCTCCTCAAAGCCAGCATCAAGGAGACGCTGAGGTGAGCCAGGGGCCCCTCAGCCCCGGCCCTGGGCCTGGAAGGGATTTCCAAGCCCCAAGTTCAGCACCAGCGCCAGCACAGAGTCTGGAAGGGGGAGGGAGACACAGTCCTGCCTCTGTTTACCCCAGGGGTCCTCCCCGGGTACGGAGGGCAGGCAGGAGCAGTCTTTGTCCAGGCTCTGTGTGTGTGTGGGGGGGGGGTCTGTCAGTGTCTGGGGTCCTCTTCCTGCAGGCTGCACCCCATCTCTGTGACGGTGCAGAGATACCCGGAGAACGACTTAGTGCTCCAGAACTACAAGATCCCTGCCAAGGTCAGGGTGCTGGGAACTGGGGCGCTGCCTGGCAGGGTGGCGGGTGTGATTGGGGACAGATGGGGTGAGGGGGTGGTGGGTGACCCCGAACGTCATGGAAATCCAAGGAAGGGTGGTACAGGCGGGGTGGGGAGGGAAGTCCTTCCTGTGATCTGCCCAGCTGCCTTGGGCCTTCCCCAAGGGCTGTGAAGGACAGGGCCTTGTGCAAGGTCACAGGGCCCCCTTCAAGGTCACGCAGTGGCCAGCGTGTCCTCCTCTGGGTCTCAGGGGTGCTGTCAGGGGAGGCCGGCCCCCTGTGACCTGTGACTTCTGACCCCCTGGGTCCCCAGACGCTGGTGCAGGTGGCCAACTACGCCATGGGCCGGGATCCCAGCGTCTTCCCCAACCCCAGCAACTTCCAGCCCGCGCGCTGGCTGGAGAAAGACAAGGCGGCCACGCACTTCCGGTTCCTCAGCTTCGGCTGGGGCGTGCGCCAGTGCCTGGGCCGCAGGATCGCAGAGCTGGAGATGACCGTGCTGCTCATGCACGTGAGTGTGCGCCAGGCCTGCGCTCTCCCTCCTCCTCCTGCTCCTCCTCCTCCTGCTCCTCCTCCTCCTCCAGCTCCTCCCCTCCTCCTCCTGCTCCTCCTCCTCCTGCTGCTCCTGCTCCTCCTGCTGCTCCTGCTCCTCCTCCTCCTGCTCTTCCTCCTCCTCCAGCTCCTCCCCTCCTCCTCCTGCTCCTCCTCTTCCTGCCCCTCCTCCTCCTCCTCCTCCGCCCCATGAGTACAGGGCCAAGGACATGTTATTTTGATCGTCTGGGCTGGTCATGGAGCTTGGACTGCGGGCCTGGGCAAAGTCCCTGAGCTCTTTCACTCCAGGCCAGCGCTCCACTACTTGAGCCACAGCTCCACGTGTTTTCTGTGGCTCACTGCACATAAGAGTCTCACAGAGTTTCCTGCCCGGCTGGCTTTGAAGTGTATCCTCAGATCTTTGCCTCCTGAATAGCTTGGGATTCCAGGCATGAGTTACTGGTGTTTTCTGCGTGTGTGTGTGTGTGTTGTGTGTGTGTGTCTGCGTGTGTGTGTGCGTGCATGCATGTGTGTGTGGGGGGCTGTCCACCCCCCTCTGTGGGGACGGGCAGGGTTGAGGGATGTGGGGGTCCAGGCTTAGGTTCAGCCAACCCAGCGGCCAGCAGCAATCCTCTGGGACCAGGGTGGGGGGCTGGTTTTGGGGTGGTGACCCCTCTTTGGAGCTGGCCCCTGCCTGTGGCTGAGTGGGTGACTGGCTCCCAGGAGAGACACCCCTTCCCACCCCAGCCCACGCTGTCCCCCTCCGCCCCGCCCCTCGCCCCCAGGTGCTGGAGAACTTCCGCATCGAACTGCAGCAGCTCAGCGAGGTGGGGACCAAATTCAGCCTCATCCTGGTGCCGGACAAGCCCATCCTCCTCACCCTCCTGCCCCTCGCCCCAGCCCCGGCCCCGCCAGCACTGCCGATCGCCCATGGGGACCCCTGAATCTCCAATCCCCCCACCCCAAGCTCAGCTCTGCCTTCTGCCCTGACCCCAGGAAGCCATTAAACAGTAGACCTCCACTTGGGATGTTCATTTCCAGCACATTCTATCCTGGGGCCCACAGAGGCTCAGCAAGCTGCAGGGCTGGCCCCCAGGCTCCCCAGGGCTGGGGTGAGGCTGGCCTCCATGTCACTGGCCAGGGCCAGCCCTGCCTCGTGGGTAGGACCCCCCCCCACCCTGGAGTGAGGCCAGCTCTGGGCTCTGCTCCATCCTGGGGTGCAGCCAGGACTGTGGTCCCTGGGGGTGAGGGGCTGGTGTGGGGTGATCTGCTCAGAAGATATGCAGGCTTCTCCCACCTGCCTGGCCTCCAGCGGGCCTGGCCAGCCCCCCCCATCAGCCCCCCACCTCCCCGCCGCCTCAGACCTGCCCAGACTCCAGTGGGCCTCAACCCTGGCTGCCCTCAGGGGCAGGAGGCAGGGAGGTCAGCGGCTCTCCACGTGGGTCCCCTCTAGTCCGCACAGGAGCGGGTCTAGCCTGGGACAGCAGCCCAGCGGGCTTAGCCTGCTGCCCCTCCCCCACCATGCCCCCCTCTGTCTGTCTCTGTCTCTCTGTCCTCTCTCTCCCAGACAACACTGGGCCTGGAACTCAGAGCTTTGCACTCTTCCTTGGCTTTTTCACTCAAGGCTGGTGCTCTACCACTTGAGCCAGACCTTTACTTCGAGCTTTTTGCTCGTTCATTGGAGAGAAGGGTTGGATTTTCCTCCCTGGGCGGGCTTTAACTGTGATGCTCAGATCTCAGCTCCTGAGTAGGTAGGATGGCAGGCCAGCGCTCTCAGTGCCTGGCAGATGCTCTTTCCTCTCTCTCTCTCCTCTGGGCCTGTTAGCGTTGATTCAGAAATATCAGTTCTGGTAGGGCGCTGGTGGCTGTAATCCCAGCTACCTGGAGGCTGAGGATCTGGAGGATTGAAGTTCAAAATCAGTCCAGTCAGGAAAGTCTGTGAGACTCTTATCTCCCATGAACCACTAAAAAGCCAGACCTGGAGTTGTGGCTCAAGTGGTAGAATGCTAGCCTTCAGTGAAAGAGCTCAGGACAGTTCCCAGGCCCCAAGTTCAACACAGACACACACACACACACAGACACACAGACAGAAACACACACACACACAGGCACACATGTCCGTTCTGGAAAGAGCTCCTATCTAAGGAGTCCAGCTTTTCATGGAACAGACAAAAATCCTGACCTTGGGAAGAAGGCTTGACCTTGTCCCCAAGGTTGGCCAGCACTGGCCTTACAGGGCCCCAGCCTGACACCACGCCGGCATCTGCACACCTCGTTGTCCCTGATCAATGGAGTTCTGAGTGACGGCCACTGGACAATGTCAAGCCTGTCCCTTCCAGAGACACAGACACACCAGGTCTGAGAGACACGATTCCAGTTAGGGCAGGTATTTAGCAGGTGGAAAATTCCAACCCCCCCCCCCATTCCCCACCTTTTGGTGGTTGTTGGTTTCTTGAGACAGGGTCTTATTATAGCCAAGCCTGGCGTGGAACGCAATGAGTCCTCTTGCGTCCATGCCCCACGCCTGTTTGGCTCACAGCTGGTGCTCTACCACTTGAGCCACAGTCCCACTTCTGGCTTTTTCTGCTTATGTGGTAATGAGGAATTGAACCCAGGGCATCATGCTTGCAAGGCAAGCACTCTACCACTGAGCCACCTTCCCAGCCTCGATTTCTGGCTTTTTGCTGGTTCACTGGAGATCAATGTCTCACAGACTTCCCTGCCTGGGCTGGTTTTGAACTGTAATCCTCCATATCTCAGCCTCCTGAGTAGCTAGGATGTGAGCCCCTGGCACCCCCGCACACCCCCATCCCCCCTTCCCCGCCCTCCCATTTGCCATGCCCTGGGCCCCCTGCGGCCTCAGGCCTTTCAGAGCTGCCAGGACCACGCAGGAGGCCTTGGTGATGCGGTATGGTATTTAATAGAGTCATCTTGGGCCAACTCAGGCATGAGGACCGCTCAGGTGTGGGGGGAGTCGGCCGCTTCCTTCGGGGAGGCAGCCGGCTTGCCCGGCTGCTGGGGTTCCAGCTTGGGGGGCCGCTGGGGGTCCGTGGAGGAGATGAAGACATTCTGCGGAATGCAAGGTGACTCAGGTGAGGATGGTGCCCCATGTCCAGGGACCCAACGATCCACAGCCCGAGGCCTCCTGACTTCTGACAGATTCCCAGGCTTGTGATGCCACAAGGCTGAGCAGGGTTCCCGATGGGGCGTCTGGGGTGTGGAGGCGCCCAGGGTTGGGGTGGGAGGAGCCCACACAGGAGAGTGTCAGACAGAGGAAGGGTTTGGGGTGGAAGTGGATGACACACTGGGAGGGTGCTGAGCGCCGGTGCTCACGCCTGTCATCCCAGCCACTCAGGAGGCTGAGAGCTGAGGATCGCGGTTCCAAGGCCGCCCGGGAAGGAAAGTCCATGACACTCCTATGTCCAGTGAACCAGCCAAAAGCCAGACAAAGCAAAAGAGCTCAGGGACAGCATCCAGCCCGTGTTCAAGACCCAGAACCGGTAGCCTCAGCCCTGGGATGCCTGGGACAAAGTAGCCATGCTGTCACTGGGAACTGGGCTCGAACTCAGAGCCTTGCGTGTTCATATGGCTGGTGCTCGACCATTTGAACCACAGCTCCACTTGTAGCCTTTGTGCTGGTTCATTGCAGAATCTCATGGATCTGTCTGCCTGGGCTGGCTTTGAACTTTGGTCCTCAGATCTCCACCTGTGTGGAGCTGGGATGACAGGTGTGAGCACAGGACCTGGCCACAGTCACCTTGAAGCACACACAATACTTGGGGGAGCGGGACGGGGCGGGGGGAGAGCTGGGACAGAGCTCCCCCTCCAGGAGCTGCCCCCCCACGTTCCTCCAGGCCCCGGTCTCCTGAACCCCTGGACTTCTCCTCTGGGCCTGACTCACAGCCGGGTCTGTGAGGACGAGGCTGGAGGCATGCCGGAAGCCGTGCTCCTGCTCCTGCAGCCGCGTGGCCAGGTCCTGCTTCTCCCGTCCCCAGCGCCGCGCCGAGTCCTCCAGCTGCACACACCAGACAGGCGCTGCAGAGCCCCGGCCGTGCGGCCCATGCACACAGGCCCGGGCCTGCGCCCACACCTGCGCCACCCCAGCACACCCACGGGAAGCCGGACAGAGGCCATTCAGCCAGGGCTCCAACACACAGACAGACCGACTCTACAGCCCACAGCATACTGAGCCCTCAGCCCAACTCTGATCACAGACTGAGCCTGGAGAGGGCTCACACACTAAGCCCTGATCCTGGTCACACACTGAGCTCTGATCATGGTCACACACTGAGCTCTGATCATGGTCACACACTGAGCCTTCATCCCAGTCACACACTGAGCTCTGATCATGGTCACACACTGAGCCTGATCAAGGTCATTCACTGAGCCTGATCTTAATCATTCACAGAGTCCTGATCCTGACTACAAACTAAGCCTTGATCCTGGTCATACACAAAGCCTTGAGAGTGCTCACACACTGAGCTTTGATCTGAGTCACAAACTGCACCTTGATCCTGGTCACGCAGTGAGCCCTGATCCTGGGCCACACAGAGTCCTGATCCTGACCACATACTGAGCCTGTATCCTGGTCACAGACTGGGCCTCAATCCAGGTCACATACTGAGCCTTGACCCTGGTCACCGACCAGCCTGGATCCTAGTCACATACTAAGCCCTGGTCCTGGTCACCTACTCAGCCCTGACCCTACTTGTGTACTGAGCCTCCATCTTGGTGGCAGGCTGAGCAGTGAGCCAAGGCTCACCTCACCCACCAGGTTTTCCAGGGCCAAGATCCGGTTCTGAGCGCGCTCCAGCTTGGCCAGCAGGTTAAGCTTGTCTGAAGAGCTGCTGCCCAGGAGATCCTGTGGACAAGGCAGAAAGTCCGCTGTGCGGCCGCGGGGGGCGGCGGCCAGGCCAGCTCCTGTGAGCTCTGGCGGTGCTGAGACAGCCGGCTCTGAGTTCTAAACTCAGCTTCCTCCACACAGCACAGGCTCTGGCCGCACCGAGATTCTCTCACAGATCGGAACCTTCCCAAGTTGTCGGCTGTTTGTGATGTGGTGCCAGTCCTCAGGGCCTGAGCATTCTCCCTTGGCTCTTTTCTGCTCCAGGCTGAGGCTTGACCCACACTCCCGCCTCTGGCTTTTGGCTGCTTCTTGGAGAGCAGAGTCTCTTAGACCTTCCCGACTGGGCTCAGCTGTGAGCTCCGTGAGCAGCCTGGATGGCAGGCGTGAGCCATGGGTGCCTGGCTGGCCTCTACAGATGCACACATGCATGTTTGCATGTGAACAACTCATGTGTGGGAGCTTTCTTTCATGCCCACAAGGGACTGTGTGGAGAACGTTCTGGAAGATCCTGTGAAGAAGCCAAAACGCCGGTCCCTATGGGGCAGCTGGCTCCGCATGTGGAAGTGTTTTCCAGGCAGTGAGCCCAGACTGTCCCAGCCCTGGCTGTCATCCCGGGACCCACCCTGAGCTTGCGAGGAGCTGAGGCCTGGCCCTGGACCCACCTGTGCAGACAGGGTCTCTGGCCATCCATCTCCTGCAGCCTGTCTGCGACGTCTCCACCTGCTCCCAACTCCCCAGGGTCCACCTGGCATGGGGGGGGAAGGGCTTTCCAAGGCTGTACCAATCCCAGGGAAGGTTCTAGAAGGGAGTTCAGGCAGGCCTGGGTGGGGTGCATGTAGGAGGAGGATCAGGGGTCCTGTGGGGCTGGCTCGGAACCTCAAAGTTCAAGGCGAGTGAAGGAGGAGAGTTCCGATGCACACTTGTACCCCCTGTACCCCGGGAACAAAAGCAAGGTGTGCAAGTTCACATCCCAGGGGACACCTAGAACCCCCCTGAACCCAGGAGCCTAGCATGGAGGTTTTTCCCTCTGGTCCTGGGGCTTGAACTCAGGGCCCGGGTGCTATTCCTGAGTTTCTTTAGCTGAAGGCCATCGCTCTACCACTGGAGCCACAGTGCCACCGGCAGCTCTTCTGAGTAGTTCATGGGAGATAAGAGTCTCCCTAACTTTTCTGCCCATGCTGGCCTCAAACCATGATCCTCAGATCTCAGCCTCCTGAGTAGTAGGATGATAGGCGTGAGCCACCGGCACCCAGCCTTTGTTATTATTATTTTTTTGTTGGTTGTGGGGTCTGGGTGCTGTCCCTCAGCTCTTCAGTTCAAGGCTCTACCACTTGAACCACAGCACCACTTCCAGCTCTTTCTACTTTACTTGGTTCTGAGGAATCCAACCCAGGGCCTCATGCATGTGAGGCAAGCGCTTTACCACTGAGCCATCTTCCCAGCCCTTATTATTTTTAATGCCAGTACTGAAGATAGAACTCAGGGCCTAGATGCTGTTCCTTGGCTTTTCCTCTCAGGCCTGGAGCTCTACCATTTGAGCCACAAGTGGCTCTTTGGTGGCTCTTTGGAGATAAGAAGTCTCCCTGCAACTCTGGTCTGGCCTCCAACCATGATCCTCAGGTCTCAGCCTCCTGAGTGGCTGGGATGAAAGGCACAAGCCAAGGACGCTCAGCTCTAGCTTGGATCTTAAATTTGGCTGGTGCTCCTGGCTGTGGCTGGTACCTACGTAGGCCGGTCCAGGCCAGCCTTGCAGGAGGCTCTTACCGGTAGGGCCTGTTGCTGCAGGATAATGGGGGCTGACTGGTGGTGGTTCTTCTCCAGCTCTGCCCGCAGCCTGGTGTTTTCAGCCAGCAGCACGGAGTAGAGGTTGGCAGGCAGGTTCTCGCCTATGGGCAGGTGGGGGATATGGAGGAGGCTGCCAATGTGGCCAGGGGTGTATGGGCCTGGGCCTTCCTGCCTCCATGTGTCTGCCCTGCTCTGCATTGAATGTGCTGTGTGTGTGTGCGTATGTGTGTGTGTGTCCTGAGTCTTGAACTCAGGACTGGAGCACTCTTCCTGAGCTTTGTCACTTAAAGCTGGTGTTCTACCAATTGAACCACACCTCCATTTCTGGATTTTTTTTTGCTGTTTCATTGGACAGAAAAGTCTCATAGCCTTTCCTACCCTGGCTGGCTTCAAAACACAATCCTCAGCCCTCAGCCTCCTGAGTGTCTTGGATTTCAGGTGTGAGCCCCTGGCCCCCGGCTGTGGCTTTCCATTGCTGGTGGCAATCTGTCTGTCCTGCTGGGCTGTTTAGAATCTGACTCTGTTGTTTCTCCTTGTACTGTCCACCCCATCTTTCCTGTGTTACAAACAGCTCAGTTCCTCTTCCTGGGTTCCTGTATAGCTGGGGTGTTGGGGCATCCAGAAGGCAGGGCAAAAGCTGGCGAGGGGCTGGACACCCGTCATCCTAGCTACTCAGGAGGCTGAGATCTGAGGATCACAGTTCAAACCCAGCTGGGGGAAGGAAAGTCCATGAGACTCTTCAACAAACCACCAGAAAACCGGAAGTGGCGCTGTGACTCAAGTGGTAGAGCGCTCACCTTGAGCTGAAGCGCTCAGGGTCAGCGCCCAGGCCCAGAGTTCAAGCTGGGGCGGGGACAGGGGGGGTCCATTCGTTCCTCTCTGCCTCAGGGGGTGGACCCACCTGCAGTGGGCTTTCCTGGTGGCCAGCTTGAAGGAGGCGGCTCGCTCCTCTCGCGGAGCCTGTCCTCCAGCACCCGCTCCATCTTCTCGATCACCTGGCAGTGGAGCACCAAGGCTGGCCTGGGGCCCCCC